AGAAATAACCAAGAAAGAGCTTAAAAGGTAAATAAAACATCTCTGAATAGTAAATGTTCTACATGAATTATTTAAAAGATATTTTTGATCAATCTACACTTTACTGAATAAGATTGCCCCATTTTCTCAGTACTACCAACTTAAATTATTTCTACTAAAACCAATTATTAATCAGCCACATATAGTATACGTATATGTTTATTTATAGCTTAACTAAATAAATTGCTTCCAAGAGATATCTTTGAAAAGATCCTTCATCCTTTTATATGCTGAATAAAATTGGTTAAGAGTTTCAGAAAGATTATAGTTTATAAATGGCATTAAGCAATGTTTCATATTCAGTATTTCCACTGTGTGTTTAGACAGGCAAGTTAACTAGAATTGAGAATCACCAGTGATTCTGTGAGCTAAATGGGCCTTTTATTTGGCCATTAAAACAATAAAAAAAAAAAAAACTGTCTCTTATGTTTCATAATCCTGCAAGAAAGATTCATTATCTCTCTTTTACAGATAAGAAAGCCAGATAGGTTATTTGCAAAAGCTCGTACATGTAATCAAGTGGCAGAGAAAAATTCAAATTCAGATCTTCAAAGACTTTTCACAATAACAAAAACAAATTGTATTTCTGTTAATAGTTTTGAATTAAATCAATAGTAATCATTTCAGAATAAAAGTATAACTTCAATTTAAATCACAAGTCTAATACCTTACTAGACCATTAGATACAAAATACTTTGGCATTTACTGATGAATATTTATTTTATAAAGATGCTATAAGTGTTAACAAATAAATATCTACACATATGTAATTTTTTTCCAAAGTCTTGGAGAGTCAATCACAGTACAAGTTAATTTAATCAAGAAACAAAACACTTATCAATATATATGTACCCAACCAGAGAGCACCTAAATACATAAAACAACTATTTAATAGAACTAAAGGGACAAACTGAAAAAATAAAATAAATAAATAAATTATAGTAAGGGACCTAAATACCCCATTGACAGCTACAGCTAGTATCATCCAAACAGAAAATCAGTAAGAAAATATTGGCCTTAAATGACACATTAGACCAAAAGGATATAATCAACATTTACAGAGCCTTCATCCCAGAACACCAGATTATACATTCTTCCCTAGTGCATGTTGAACATTCTCAAGGATATATCATGTTAGGACACAAAACGAGCCTCAACAAATTTAAGAAGACTGAAATCATACCAAACATATTCTCCAACCACAATGTTTTGAAATTATAAATCAACTGCAAAAAAATAAAAAAGTGGGAAAACCCACAAATATATGAAGATTAAACAACATGCTACTAAAGAACAACCGGTCAAAGAAGAAATAAAAGGAGAGATCAAAAGATATGTAGAAACAAATGAGAATGACAATATGAGATATCTAAACTTTTGGGATGCAGCAAAAGCAGTAATAAGAGGGAAGTTTATATCATTATATCCCTATCTCAAGAAACAAGCGAAATCTCAAATAAACAACATAACATTACATCTTAAAGAATGGAAAAGGAACAAATGAAACCCAAAGTCAGCAGAAGGAAGGAAAGAATATTAGAGCAGAATTAAATGAAATAGAAAATAAAAAGACAATAGAAAAATCAATGCAATAAAGATCTTATTCTTTGAAAAGATTAATAAGATTGACAAACCTCTGACTAGACTTACTAAAAAAATAAGACTCAAATAAACAAAATCAGAAATGAAAGAGAAGTTACAACAGACACCACAGAAATACAAAGGATCATACAAGAATACTATGAAAGACAATATGCACCAAATTCAATTATCTAGAAGAAATGGACAAGTTCTTAGAAATATATAACCTTTCTAGACTGAATCAGAGAACTGAAAAATCTAAATAGACTGATTAACAGTAAGGAAATTGAAACAATCATCAAAAACCTCCCAAAAAGTAAAAAGTCCAGGACCAGATGGCTTCACTAGTGAATTCCACCAAACATTCAAACATTTAATACCTCTCCTTCTCAAACTCTTCTAAAAAACTGAAGGGGCAATACTTCCTAACTCATTTTATGAGGCTAACATAACCCTGATACCAAAACCTGGCAAGGATAACATAAAAAACTATAGACCAATATCGCCAATGAATATAGATGCGAAATTCCTAAACAAAGTACATGTTGATTTAAATTTCTCATCTTTAAAATTTCTCACCAAAACTCTTAGGTTTAAAAACTGTATTAATCTCATGCTGTCCTTAAAAAATGGGAAGTAAATTTTATAATTTTAAAAAATATGGCCTATCAGATTATGACATATTTGCCATTATTTTATCTATAGATTTCAAGCTACTGATTATAAATTAGTAGTCCTCAATTGGCACACTATTTTTCCTTACATATTTCAGAGTAACAAGCATTTATAAACATTTAAGTTTATTACAAAGATGTAATTTTTTTAGAAGTCTTTCAAGTGATAGTCAAGAAGGTTCTAGACTAAGCAAAGCTTTACAAAGGGATAAGATATAAAGGAAAGTGAATGGCTTGCCAAAGAGCACAGAGTTAGTGACAATGAAGCCAGGACTTAGGTCTTTTGACTTTAAGGACAGTGCTCTTTCTACCCTGCAACTCTGCCTCTAAAAAGATAAACACTCTATCATTTCAATTATGTAAAACATATTAAGATTTGTTTGAAACATTTGGGTTTTTACTAAAATTACAAGTGATACTGTTTGCCAAACACTAAATTAACTTTCATTTCTAACATATAAATTATAACATATTAATTAAAATGCATTTCAGTCATTGGGTGAGGGTAAAGTAAATGACAAAATTTCATAGTTCCAAATTTTATTACTTTTCTATCTAATGAGATTAAGCTGATTTTATGAAAATCTAAAATTTAATTTTATATATTAAAGTATCAGGTACCATGTTTCAAATAATTAAAATTCAGTGCATATGGATAGAAAAACTGCAATATTCACATAATTATTGTGTTCAACTAGCCAAAAATACATAACTGGTATTAAAAATATAGAATACTCTTTTATTCATAGTTGTATAAGTAATAATACAAGTCAGCCTGTTCTGGCTACCTGATATCACGTGCTAAGCACTGTTCTAAGCACTTTATTAATTGAATCCTTAGAATAATCATATAAAAAAGGTCCTATTATTCTTCTCATTTTATAGATGAAGAAACCATGTAACTTCTAGGGTCACATGACCTGTATCCAAGTTGCCCAACTTCCGGCAAACTTCTTTCACAATTCTAAGCCTTCCCACCATGTTCCTTGAAATTATTATTGCATTATAAATACACTTACTTCCATGATTAACATCTTCACAACAGAATGTTTTCCTACTTTTTCATTTAAAATTGCAGACCAGCCTGACCATCTCTAACTCTGCTACCTTCTTCTTGAGGGAAATTCTTCATCTCCAAAAGTCCACATATTAGTTTGGAATCCCATGGGTGCCAACACTTACCCACTCATTAAAAAGTCCTTCCTCTGACAAGGACTCTATTCTTAACGCTTCCATGCAACTTCCTGTAATCTTCGCTATTAAATGAAATTTATGGACAGTACTTCTATAAAAATTCATATATGTACAAACTTTCACAATTTTATCCGTGGCCCCCTTGGAGCTCTTTTAAAACTCTTCCACTCAGAGTCTGCATACGACCCAATCCCCACCCTTCTCTCAAAATGTGGTCCCTAAACCACTCATATCAGAAACACCTGGAACGCTTGTCTAAAGCAATACCACTGAAATTAACTTTAGAACTGGACTCTCTCATGATGAAGTCCAGGAATCTGCATTTTAAACATTCTCCCCAGGTGATTCTTATGGCTCGTTAACATTTAAGACCCATCCCTAGGGACACATGGACCTCACTGAGAATTTCAGAATACTCAGTTTTCATCTCTACCCTACCCCTTGGCATTATTCTAGAAAACTTTAACATCAATGTGATGATCCATAATACACCTACACATTAGCTTCACCTCTTTACCTCTATGTCCCATCGACCAGCACTTCCTGTCCATGTCAGCAATCCATTCCTCCTATTGCTACACCCTAGATTCAGAACTGCTCAATTTATCAATCGTCTTAAAATCAATAGTATACTCTGCCCAAGCTATCCTCTCCTTCTTCCACCAAATCTGCTCTTCAGCCTCAGCCAGACGCTAATCCTATGACTTCCGTTTTCTTTCATCTAGCAACCTCCCTCCACTTCCTGCTCTGCCCAGCACAGATGACAGTCTCAGGCACTTTCACCAGCTACTGGGGACCTTCCCATGGGCTTCAGAGGACCCATCCTGTACCTTCCAAGTTTGCCCAAGATGTCATTACACAAGTTGTGATGCCACAGTTAGTTTAGCAGGCTGTTCCCCTTAGACGTCTCTTCTCTTTCCAGTTCAGGTCAGCCTGGTGATAATAATCTCTATTATAACTTATATTCACAGAGCACTTATTGCATTTGATAATGATTATCTCATTTAATCCTCACAATAACTCTATGAAGTGGGTACATTATCCTCACTATAAGCAAGAAATACTAAAACTAAGATTAAATAATTTGCCTAAGGTCTCACAGACAGTATGTGACACGGTTGAGATTCGAGCCCATAAAGCCCTTTTCCACAGCCTGGGCCCGTTACTTTTCTTTCTACTCTGCTAATAAAGGAGAAAAGAAAGGAAAAAGGCCGCTCGGGCACTTGCCAGTTGTCAAAAATGAAGTCAGGGCTCTTACTTTCTTGAAAAGCTTTGCCTGTTGCTCTGCTCACCACTTTGTATTCCATCCTCAGCTTTTCGGAACTCATCTCCATAAAGTGGCAACAGATAGTGATACCAAAAATATATATGGTTTTGGAAAGCTTATTAATAAGCTTTACATGTTGAAACATTTGTCTTTTATCAGTCCAAACTTAAAAAGAATAGCATGTAAAGTACTGTGGAAAACTTTGAGATTGAAAAAGAATATTGTGACCAATTTTTCAAACTCACCTTTTATTCTTCTTGTAATTTTCCAGTTGTTGAGACTGTGCATGTTTGTATCTTTCTAATTCACACTGTGCACATAAATCCTCCAGATTCAGCAAGTGGTTTTCTACCTCCTCAAAACTAGCTTCTAAATGAGCTGAAAGTACATAAAGTCAAAAGAACAAATGTCAAATCAGAATCCTTAATCATGGAGAAAAGAAAAAGTGTCCAAAAGTTAAAAAAGTTTGAGCTGCTTGAGACTATTTTGCATTTAATATTCTTTACTAAACTTTATTGAAGCAAAATAAAATGCACTGACCAACATTAAAACATACCTCAAATTATCTTTTTTTAGTATATTTTTATATTTCAAATATTTGAAACTCAAGATGTGAGTTCTCACAACACTTTAAATACTCTACTAACCAGGATGACGAGGAAACATTATCTTGATTAATGTAACATGATATCCTAATGATCCCATATACTACACATAATCAATTTCAAATAATGAGAATATAGCAAAATATAATTAACGCAAATTATACTAAACATAATATTTGAGATTTCAAGTTACGTTAGCATTTATTTTGCCCCAGCATATCATGTACATAAATCTTCAAGGCACTGTAGAGATATACAAATACTCAGTAAGCATAGTCAGTGGCTGGTAGAAAGAAACTCAGTTCTGTCTACCACTGAACTAGTCTTTTACTATTCCACTTTGCCTTTAGACCACAGAGCTTTGCAGCTTTGTTGGAATATAGATATCATCCAGTCAAATCCTTATTTTAAAACAGGGGTCTCCAATCTCCGGGCCACAGATAGGTACCAGGCTGTGGCCAGTTAGAAACTGGGCTGCACAGCAGGAGGTGAGCAGCTGGCAAGTGAGTGAAGCTTCATCTGTATTTGTAGCTGCTCCCCAGTGCTAGTAGCATCACCGCCTCAGCTCCACTTTAAGTCATCAGGCATTAGATTCTCATAGGAGTTCCGGCCCCTGGTGCCAAAAAGGTTGGGGACTGCTGATTTTAAAAAATTCAAGACTAAAGCCTGCAGTAGTTAATTCCATGCCTTCCCCAAGGTCACCTAACTAGTAAAGGGCAGTCAGGAATCAAAACTGAGTCCCTCTTACACTACACTACAATGATTTCCAATTGGCAGGGTGCTAGTAAACCAAGACTTCATAACTGCAGGGTGAGAAATGATTTTCTAAGACAACAAAAAAGTTTTAGAAGTAAAGATTTTAGAACTCAAACAGCATCACGGCCATTCGGTAAGAACACTCACTACATGTGCAGACACTGAGATACAAAGATGAAAAAGACAGTCCTTGGGCTCAAAGAGCTTAAAGTAGAAGGGAGGCCTATTTCCATGACAACACAGATGTACAGAACTCAAGGAGTGGCATCTAACATAGATGAGGGAGAAGGAGGGAGAGGCTCGATCCGAGATCTGACTCCCAAGTCTGGAAAGTCACAGCCATCCCATCCAGTGAGGAAAGGGTAGCCTAGAAGGGGCTGCCTGTGCAGCTTTCCAGTCTCAGTTTCACTTAAGCAGCTGCAATACAATTACAATACATCCAATTTCTTCATTTATCCACTAGATTTTATATGACTTTCTAAATTAGCTTTCGCAGCATCTAGGTTACAAGCAAATGTCTCAAATTTTAACTTGCAATTTCAGGTTTGTTAAGATGCAAATTCTGGCCTGTTTTTAATTAATCTTTGTTTTATCCAAAGATTATTAAATCTAGCAAGAGTCATATTTTCTAATACCCTAAATTTTAATTCTACTAAATATCTATGCTTATTTAAAAAAAATCCCTCTTCAATTTGGTAGGACCTAGAGCTTAAAGACATGGATTTGGGGGGGGCACATAAAATTTTACTGAAAAGTGAAATATGAGAACAAGTAGTTTAGCACCTCTTCAAAGACATGTTAGGTACTTTGATCACATTGATGTATCACTGTAAACCACTGGTAAGTCTGAAAAATACTGAAAATTATATAGTTCATAATAGTTTTGAATCTATTTTCAGAGGCCACATAAAACAGCTAATATATGTGATTATGGCAAGCCTACCTTGAAACAATTTGCAAAACCTAAATATTAATCAATGAAAAATTATATCTGAGATTTTTTTAAATGTCATAAATGGTATACAACAAGTTTGTGTGGGGGAAAAATAAGCAAAATGATGTTATATTAGTTGCTATTTGGATTTATGTTAAGTGGAAAAATGACTGGGAGATTTAGCCCGGGAGGTAGTACTACTGGTCCTGAAGAAGCAATATTCACAGCTCATTCTGATATAACTAGTTTGACAGAGTCTTAAAAGACGATCTGTGCTAATAGGATTATTTAAAAGGCTATTTCACTTTGATTAGTGATAAAGACCAGAATAATTAAATTTAATATGGAATCCATTTAACTCTAAGCTACTTGGTGCCTTCATGTCATTCTTAGCACCATACATGTCACCCTTAGTACATAGGGGACTGTTTAAGAGTAGGGCTTTGAAGCAAAAACTTGGAAATCCAGCTCTGCCCCCTACAGATGAGATGAGATACGGCACCAGTGAAAAGAGGGCTAACAATATTCTTCTGGCAAAGCTGTCAAAAGGGTTCAATGAGGCAAAGTATGTAAAGTAGCTAACAGCACTTGGCAGTAAGTAAATAATTAATGGCTGACTATAAAAAATATAGAGAAAAAATTTTATAAAGATTAGCTAAGTTTTGTCAAAGTTATTTAAAACCAATAATTTTGTAGACCAGTAATGATTGCATTGTAAACACCATCTATGGATCTAACAGGTCAAAATATCAATAAAATTTTCATTTTTTTCTGGCAAACTTATATACTTGTAAATTATACTCAAGGCTATGTCCTTAGATTTAAGATTCCTTAAAAGTGACTGAAACTACATTTCAAATGATTTTTCTAAAAAGAAAATATGTCATGGAGTCAATTATATTTGAAAATGTATATGTTCTTTTCATCTTTTTTATTTTTATTTGTACAGACGGCAATTTCCATTTAGAGTCTAGCTCTGTTCGTTCACTACAGAGCTAATGAGGCCAGGAACTCTAATGAAGCTGATCCTTATGTAGGCCAATTAATTTCTCATGGAGAGAAATTCTGTTCTAGGTACAAACTTGTCCTAAGTCACTTCAGGTAATAAAATGCGGATCAGGTGAAAACATGTGAATAGTTTAGTATCAACCTGGAACTACTAATGAGAAAGAAACTCACCACATGTCCTACTGAATAGGCCAATGGCATTATGTTCTTGTGTTGAATGGCAAATCTAGATTTAAAATGCTTGGGAGAGTCGGTGGTCATTTTACTGCTACCACCAAATTCATATTTACGTTCTACCCTTTAAAAAGTTTCAAAGTCTCTTGAGTACTTTAAGAATCCAGTTTAACTCCTTAATTTAGCATTCAGGAACTTATCACCCCCTGGCCACAACCTACATTTCCAATCTCACTACTATTTTCCTTCAGGACTACTCACTACTCTAAGAGTCCTGCATCTTACTGTCTCTTTGCCTCTGCCTGTCCCTGAGATGTCCCTGCTTGCCTCCGTTGCCCAACCTTGAGCTTCCTCTTCAGGCTCATGATAGTGCTCTCCCTCCCTCCAGTCCTCAGAGCTCTCTTCTTCTTCTATGCTTCCACAGACACCTTTGACTGACATTATACAAATATCTGTGTACTCTCATCTCTCTCAGGAATCAGTAAGAGTTTTAAGGGTAATGTATTTTTGCATCTTTGTGTCCACTAATAGCTAACCCATTAAATTCAATTAAGAGTGATATCTGGTGATAGAATGAGTCTATCACTCTAAAACGTAAAATAATAACCAAGAAAGCAAATCTATGATTCATGTTCATCTAATTTAAATATTAAGAGGTATGTTAAGTTTTGTAAAAGAATAAACACGGGCAGAGAACTTAAAAAACATTAAAGAGCACAATGGTACTTTGCTATTTGTGCGTCAAACCAGGTCCAATTATCGGTGAGTTAAAGCAGTAGAAGTAATGGAAATGTTCCATTTTAACTCTTAAAGGGCTTGAAATTAGTAATAAAATATAGAAGAACTGTACTGACAAAAATAAACTTTCTTTCTCTTTTATATTAAAAAATTTAAAATATCTCTTTAAATAATAATTATAAGCACATATATGAGGTATATTCTGAATATTTTATATTGAATTTTAATGGCCAGAAATTTAATTTCCCTGTCACAATCTGCTCATTTCCTTTTACAAAACGAGTTGCATATATAGTAAATTTGGTAACCAAACTTAGAATGCATGTACATAAAACACTAGCAGGCCTCCACAGACACAAATACACCTTTACGAGAAGCTCAGATCTCATCATTTTGCTCACTGTAACAACAGCATATGTCTCATTTAGTAATCAGTGGAAAAGATAGGTGGAATTTTATTGTGAAAAGCCATTGGGGAATGCCTGACAGCTGTTCAGGAAAGAGCATCACAAATCTTTGTGAGAAGACTGTCCCAGAGGAATAGCAATTCTGTTTGGAATTTTTCTTTGTGCCATTTGTTTCAACTACATATTATATATAGTATAACCACTGATAGATGAAATATGGAATGGAATGCTAAAACTAATAGTTTCACACTTAACAAGTACTTTCCAAACAAAACAATTAGCCTCAAGAAATAAGGAAATCTTTGACTCAAATCCAAAGGTCACGGAGGCCAGATACTAAAAGACCACAAGATTCTTGAAATGCTTACATTATTCTTTCAAGTAATAAGAGAATATGGTAATGAGGTAGGGTAAAAAGAAACTTTAAGAAGTACATTAACTTGCAAAAACCATTATGGAACAAATGCGATCTGCTGAGTATACTAAATGGTGTTTAAAGAGAGTTAATGTACCTATGCAAGGGTCAAATCTCAGAAAGTAACCTGGAAAATAAAATAATCTAGTTGATGAAACACTGATAACTGTGACAGTCTCCCTGCTAGATGCTTTCTCAAATTCTGTATAAGAGAAAGCAAAACAATAATATATCAGATTAGGACAGATCAAAAGAAAGCTACAGACTCAGTATATGGCTGTCATTCCCTTACAGCACTTTGTTATCTATGAATTAATAGAATCTTCTGTTCTAGATGAAGATAACAGTTTTTAAAGTAGGTCATATAAACTAAACAAAGCAACAGAGAAAATTCAGACAAGCCCTTGACATTTTAAATTTCAATAAGGGAATAGGATTTGACTACCCTCTAGTGGAAGTTCAAGAGAATTAAATAAATACTTAAACATTTTAGTAGTTTTGATTAAACACACACTGTGGTTATTTTATAGAATGAGAAAGTGTATAGAATCTGGATGGGCACATTCCATTTATCTTTACACCCTGTCTTTCAACATACAGAGTACACTGTTCATCTCATCACATTTCATGCTGTGGTTTTACATTCTAAACTATTTTGCAGGACAAGCCAAATTGCATAATATCCATCCAAACCCTTCTGTCAAAGAACAATAGATTTATAAATTTGTAAAGGCTAAAGAGACTCCCACTAGAATGTCACCATCCTGATGGCAGGTGCCTGCTCTTATTCAATGTTGTATTCTCAGAGCCTACAAAGAGGGCATGCCATCCTGTAGACACCTAATATGCACTCAGCACTTTGCTGAGTGCTTTACATATGTCATCTTAAATATTCCAAATACCCCACGAGGCAAGTACTCTCATCCCCATTCTGGAGATAAAGAAACTGAAGCAGTTAAGAAACCTGCATGGAGTTTCACAGTGAGAAAGTTGTGGAACTGGATCCAAACGCAGATCTGCAAGTTAGTTCTATGCCCTTATTTTCCAGTTCCCAGGATACCTTTACGATTTTTTTTTTTAAATGACAAGCCTTATCAGTGTCTACTATACAGGCTTTTGTAAGGTGAATGGATCACATCCCATCAAAAAACAACAACAACAAAAACCCAACATGAATGGGTTATTCATTCTTACTTAACAATTCCTGAGGGATCAAGTAATCAGACATCATATTTAAGCCATAAGACAATGCAGCTAATAGAATCATCAAATTGCTCACATCATATAAAGCCTTTACTCTCTAATGAGGGCAGACCCTCTAGAGAACACAGCAAGACTAAAAGAGTTAAGTAGCCTGGCAAATGGAGGGCCTGACTGGATGTGGTATTAGATCCAACAGTAAAAAGTTCAAAGAATTTAAGGGACTCCTACAACTAAATATAGGTCAGTTACTACTTTCTTCCAAGTTATTTTCATTTTGTATTTTTTTTTCAAATTCATAATATTTTGTATTATTGCTTGACTATTTAAACCTTGTAATATTATATCAAAGTATTTAGGTGATGATAAGAGATATTTTGAGGCTACCAAAAAATAAAAGCAGCTAGCATATGAGTGAACATTTAAAACACTAAATGCTTCTAATATGTAAAAATGATGCATAACCATAAATTCATTAAGATGAATTCATAAAATACATTAATGATTTTTTAATATATGTTTATATAACCTATGTCACCAAATTTGGCTTCAAAATATTTCCCTACTGTAAAAAATATCAGCACTGATTCCAAGAAGCTTAAGTTGCTTATCTAAAAGTCTCATTATTTCAAAACACCTCTCTATGAGCTTATTCTAGGCCAACAAATACAAGGCTTCTGGAATTCCTGTTGTGACTTGCTATCTTCTATTGTCAGTCATTAAAATAAATATCAGGCAAAGAACAGCAATAGATTAAAATGCAAAGGTAGCATGTATTTCAAATGCTAATGATAACTTGGATTGGCAATAAATATAAAAACCAACCACGTAGATTTTAAAGGTATCTTCTAAGCAAACTGAATTAACTCTCCAAAAAGAACTCTATATAGGTTAGATATAGACTACTGGAAGTGATTATCTATCTGTCCAGAATATTAGTTCACAGAATCCTTTAGCTTTGTTTTGCCATTGGTGGTCAATGTTTCAGATTAGCAAAGATAGAGAATTCAAGTGAGAATTTGAAAAGTTCACCCCATTCATTTAAGAAGCCATGATGCAGTTTCTAAAGAGGAAGTTCATATATCACTAAATATCAAACTTTTTTCAGGATATTTAAATCTTAATTGAGAACGAAAATATAGTATATTCTATTTTAAGAAAGACTTATATAAACTGCATTTCCTAAGCAGAATTAACTATGAAAATAATTAGAATTGGGGCAAAATGCATTTAATCAGCAGAATGGTATCAAACAAAGAATTTATAAGAATTTACTCTCAGCTGGGAAAAAAAGGAGGGAGGTTATCATGGAAGAATATTTCTGCAAAGGAATATATAACTAATGAAAAGCAAGCAACTCAAAGAGATGCAGGAAGATAAGCTAAAAGAAAGTGGCTGAGAAGAAAATTCTAAGTATCTTGGAAGCTATTTCTATCAGTTAGTTATCAAAGGCTTGAGATGGATCATGCCTCAAGAAAGAAAAAATGCAGAGGGCAACCACAGCTATTTCACATTTCTCCTAAGACTCAAGGTATCTTTTCAATGCCCTACCTTCAGAAATAACAAATCACTGACACTAGAAAACATTTCTAATAGCCAGGGCTTCAAGAATACAGTTCCTGAGCCCTACTGACAGCTATCATCCAAACTGCCTTAACCTCACCTGATCACTGTGGTTGAGATCCTGGATCCACATCTTACTTTGTGACCCTGAGCAAGTCACAGTCTCTCTAAGCCTTACTTTCCTTATCTGTAAAGTGGGATAATAAAAACTTCTTCTGTAGGCTTCTCATGAGGACTAAAGATAATATCTGCAAAGCATCTAACAATCTCTGTAGTATAATAATAGTAGATGCTATACTACTATTGGTAGGTGCTATAAATATTAGCTATTGTGGTCAGTAACAGCATTCCAAATACCATTCAGGTAACTTTATTCACACACAAAAAAACGGTTTTATGATTTGCTAATTACTTGTTTTATAAATCAGTGTTGCCCTGCTTTAAAAAAAAAGGTAATACTGAAAAACAGAAAGATGATAGAGTGTTCTTACCTTCTTACCCATAAGACTAGCTCAGGTTACAGTAGCTCAAGAAGTTTATCTCCTACACAGATAGCTCCTACCTCTCACTTCACTAAGACTTGAAGCTTAGTTGAAAAACAGTAAGCCACAAATATTATCATAAGATATGGCACTGTCAAATATTAAGAGTTAATTTTCTGAATATAAACCCCCCAAATAAAAAATATCAGCATAATTCACTGCAATAAAAAAATGAAAACAAACCAAAAAAAGGTCCATAAGGTATAAATTCAGCCAAACAGGTACTCTCATTTAACTGGATTTGTTTGATCTTTCATCAGTTTAAAGAGGAAAAAAAAACATACTGCAATACATGAAGCTCTAAGCAGACCTAAGTTTTAAAGCAACAACTTCCAAAGTATATGCTACAGTCAGAACATAGCTGACGTAATCCCTTTTATTTTCTACATTTATACTTTTGCACAGTGATCTAATGTCACAAAGACAACCCCGAGTAACTTTAAGAATCAACAAAATTATAATTATCTTTCCTAAGCTGAACTGAGGCAGAAAATGTTAGTGGTATATTTTAGAAATCATTTCTACTTTAAATTCTCTCTGATTCTTGATTAATGAAAATACAAAATTAACTAGAACTTACAACTTTCCAAAAGCCTGTTAACCAAGAATATAGTTTTAGTAGCTCTGAAATTATACAAAGTCCTGCCCAAATTATTTTCATTCCTAGAAGAAATGTACAGATATAAACGTAAAACTTACTCAAATTTGTTGTCATGGATTCTACATCTGCTATTAAACCTGGAAGCTGCTGAAGCTGCTCCTGTAACTCTATTAGGCTCGTCTTCTTTTTTTCCCAGTGTGCTGAAAGCATAACAACCTCGCTATCCACCAGCTGCAACACAGAAGAGGAAGAGGAAGGTAAAACCAGACTTTTAGGCACAAAGAAATCATAGTCGGCATAATCAGAGTTGATTGATGTTATCTTGAAAAACTCCTGAGTATAGATGACAGGACACTAAAGAAGACTGAAATTGTTTCCTTTCTTAGAAAAGAACCAACTTAATATTCAGTGCAGAAAACCTCAAATTACTGCTTGTCTCAGTGCATCTCAACCCAGAGAAGAGAAAGTTCAGAAATGACCGTAGAAATCATTTCTAAGTATACCCTATTTTTAAGTAAACCCCATATTTGAAAATCCAAATCTAGAAAAATAAAACAAAAAACTACCACTAACAATTGAAAAGAAAACAAAAACAACCCAAAACATAATTACTGAGTAATTACTTGCTTTACAAAATAAATTCTTTTAGCAGAAGTTTCCTAACAGATCTAGAATACACTATGATTCAGTTTACATTGAACAGGAACACTTGTTGCATAAGGGAAAAGGTACTTGTATATGAAGGAATTATTGAGGCAACTGATCAATTCCAGAAAAAGGAGAATAGGATTTATGCTGACAAAAAAGGAATACACATGTAAAGGATTCCTAATCACGCCATGATGAGATACCAGACTAGCCTAAAATAATTCTAACTTCTTTTCTAGAAGACGGTAAAGAAAATGACAGACATCAGTTTCTCCCAGACAATTCTGTTTTGGTCTTAACATGGTGGGAGGCAAAGGAGCCTAGAATGAGATTCAGAAGGAGCAAGGAGACGTCATCTTTTGAAAATATCACTGATAAGCAAGAATTGTGAAAGATACTCACACATTAGTAGAATAAATGTAAAGATGGCAAAATTCATTATGCAACAGAAAAAAATTCATTTAAATTTTATATGTAAATCAGAGTTCACAGTAAATTTAGATTTAAAAAAGGCAATTTACACATCCCAAGATTAAGTCTTCACGAGTTGAAACATGAACAAAACTGATTCTTACTGAATATCACTAAAGAAAGAACTTCAGAAATAAAAATATTAAAATAAGATGTAAAAATTATTTATATGTGGTGTTAGACTGTTTGTTTCTCCATTTTAATATTCTAGGGAATTCACAACATTGAAACAAAAGAACTAAGCTACAATAAAGGGGTTAGAAAGTTGCCTAGTTTCTTCACTCTGTCTCCATCTCCCACACCTCTTTGTTTTTCAGCCCAAATTGGAAGGATAACTACATCATCTCTCACCTACAAGCCTCATCTGAGCTGAGGTGACACCAAGCTCTACTCAAGTTGCGTTTCATTAATTTTATATACCTATTCTACAGACCATCCACTATCTGCCAGGCACTAGAGGTACAATGGTGAAAAAAACATTGGAAAAAAAAAATCCTGCCCTCTTGGTGCTTATCACCTGGTAGCAGGTCTCACAAATTCTCTTAGCTTCGGTGTTTAAACTCTACAAAAGAAAAAATAATTCCTATATAACAGGACTGATTTGAGGATAAATAATATATTTTCCTGGTATGTGGTATAGCTTTTAAAAAGTTTGATAAATCTTACTCTGGTTAATTAGGTTAATAACTTGAAAAACTGAGTACAATTTTTAGATATTAGCCATTTCTTACTGAAAATTAAAGAGCAAAATATTTAAATATTAAAACTATAACCTAGTTCAAGCCTTCCACAAAATTAAAAATTATATTCTGAATAAAGAATATAAGACGTATATACAAAGAATATATCAGAATACACTAAAATATAATTTTCATTTAAAAGAGTGGAAGGTTAATAATTTTCAGAAATTATTATTGGTAGTTATGTAATCATAACTAAAACACTTTGAGCATTTTCTAGGTGCCAGGCCCTGTGCTAAGCAATTTACATATATTTTCTCATTTAAACCACATAGCAACCTTGTAAACTAAGCATTATTACACCCTTCATTTTACAAATGAAGAAACAAAGGCATAGCATACTAAAGCCAAATCACTTTCCGAAGGGCCACAATGGAACTAGATTAAATCCCAGGGAGTCTGACATTTAAGCCCATACCCTTAAATCAATATTCTAGAGATCGTGCTATAGGGGTATATAAAAGGAAAAAGTAAAGTGAAAAGCTAGCAAAAGAAATGGTTCTAAAAATCTGTATGTACTTAAACTTTACTGAGTGATAAGAAATGAGCTATCTCCAAAAGGCCAATGTGTCCACCTCCAAGTAAACAATTCTGAATAACTCCAGATTTAACACCAGGGAATCGAGTTTAAGGAGCAAGACAAATCCATAGTACTTCATTCCAAAATTCCTCCTGGTGGATACTGAAATTAGGAGAATGGAGAAAAGTAAGGAACGGCAATGATTTATAAAATGACCAATAACAGTACCTACTGTACAATTCAGAGTTTGGGGGCACATTATCTCATGTGATTTCCATATTACTTTGTTTGGTGAGTAGGGCAACTGGTGTATACCATTTTAAAGAGGAGAAAACTAAAATAGAGAGACTATGTGCCCACAGTCAAAATGTATTAGTGCAGAAACTAGAATTTCCAACACCCAGTTCAGGTCACCTTTTACCACAGGCAGAGGAGATCCAAACTGGAACACAGTGAAGCATGTTTACTTTAACTAGCTTACATTGTTAAATAAAACAGGAATCTTGAGAGTTGAATTTAAAGGCAAGCAAATATTTCACAATAAAAATTACAAGCAAATAATACATGGGAAGTCTAACTTTAAAAAGCTGCCCTCAGTGTCTAATCCCTAAGTCATTATTAATTATTTATTCATTTATATATTGCTATGGGAGAAAAAACAAAGAACTTCTAAAAACTTTGTAGAAAAAACTTAGACGACAAAGTTACCATTGACCATAGCTGCTTGTTTTCTAAGCTACTGCTCTGAATTTTACTACTACATAGTAAGAAGTAGCTTTAAAGTAGATGAGTATAAAATAATTTGTCAGACATGATTGAATTGTCCTAAAGTACATTTGTCCCGGCAGACTGAAACTGTGTGAAGGCCACCAAAGGCACATTAGCATGGTCTGACAAAATATACACACGACGGGTTTAACATACATATCTTAAAGATACAAACTTTAAATATTTACATATGTCTCAACAACACATCAGAGGGCTTTAAAATAAATTTTCTTTTTTAAGTTTGAGAACTGTATTTCTGAAGACACTTGTGATCAGCTGTGGTCTTAAAACGAGTACTCAACTATGAAAAAATTTAAGATCCGAAGATAGCATAAAGTCAACAACAGATCTTATATATTTTATCATGAAATAGTTCTTATAATCAGAAGAATAATTTTTGTTAAAGATCCTCTGCAGCGGTCTCCAACCTTTTTGGCACCAGGGACTAGCGCTCCTATGAGACTCTAAAGCCTGGTGATCTGAGGTGGAGCTGAGGCAGTGATGCTAGTGCTGGGGAGCGGCTGCAAATACAGAAGAAGCTTCGCTTGCTCACCCACCCACTGCTCGCTTCCTGCCATGCAGCCTGGTTCCTAACAGGCCACGGACCGGTACCAGGGGTCGGGTAGCCCTGCTCTATAGCATACAGTCTTCATTCAACGTTGTTTGTATGATACATCCATGTTGATAAATGTAGAAGTAGTAGTTCATGAATTTTCACTGCTGTATGATATTTGATTTTATGAGTAATATTATCATTTATTCTGTAGACGGACTTTGGGACTATCTAAATTTCAACAGAACCTGCTACAACATTCTGCTACAAATCTCCTGGCGCACATGTACAAGTTTCATATGTGAGTTACAGATGTGTCCAAAGTCTTGATCTCATCTTTCAGAGTGGCTCAAAGGACTTAGGGTAACTAGATTCTCCCCGGCCTAGCCACCTCAGAGGTAGCTTCAAGTAGCCTCATCTATTTATTACATAGTAAACAGATGATACCATGCCAATATTATAGAGGAAATGTGTGTCATACCAATATCAGGGGAAGCTTGGGACGTGATGCTCTGGAAATATCCCTAGGAAGTGGAACTGTTTGAAAGGTACGTGCAAGTTCAAGTTCCACTTAATGCCAACTCATTTTTTCTAATGTGACTGTGCCAATGGATTTATACTCCCTCCAAGCTGTTCCTACAAAGGGAAAAATGAAATAGTGTTCTGCAAGTGACTGCACAGAAAACTCAAGGTTTAAATTTTCAATAATCTAAGGAGCACAGATTTGTGGTTTTAATTTGTACTTCCTTGATTACTGACCACTCCTATATTTTTTCTTCTACAAAATGCCTGGTTATATCTTTTGCTTGCTTTTCTATTGGGTTACTGTCCTATTTTTATGGATTTGTAGCAGTTGTTCATATTTTCTGAACACCTGTCCTTTGTTTTGTAAATTGCTTAACATTTTCATGGTGTTGTTCGATGAAGAGAAGCTTTGATAAAAATTATATTTTTATTTATGGTTGATTTTATGCCTTGTTAAAGAAATCTTTCTTTACTCTGAGGTCTTCTACTATTTTTTAAAATATGTATCGTTTTCCCTCTTATATTTAAGTATGATAGAACCAAAATTTGAACCAAATCCTCCAACTACTTTTACTCATCATTATACTGGACATATAAAAAGACATGAAGAAGTGAAAGTTGTACGGATTAGAAGGGACGAAACAAAACCTAATATCTACACGAAAGAACTCCCAACCCCGTATACAAATTATCAGAGTAAGTGGATTTAGCAAGGCGGTTGAATACAGGATCAATACACTGCAAGTCAAATACTGCAGGTTTTGGTAGATATCAGGACAAAGACCTTATCTTCAATTAAAAACTTGCTAAAATGTTTTATTCTGAATATATTCTTAATTTTACCAAATCTATGTTCTGTATTTGATGATCCAGTATTTTTCTCCCTGAATATGTTAACGTGATCAATTGCATTTAAAAGATTTTCTAATGTCAAACCAGCCTTTTAATCCTGAAATAAGCCTGTTATATTGGTTTTTTTTATACATTGCTTGTTTATACATTGCGAACACAACTATACACCGCAGAATGTCTCCGAGGCAGAATGCCTTTTATCATCCAACATTCACAGAACACACACCAATCAATACAAAGTTTTGGCTAATATTTACATAGGAAAACTACATTTAAACCCAAGACGCATTTTAAAACAATGTGAGATTACATTTCAAATACAATTGTTAGGACATGAGAATCATAAGACAATAAGAGAAATACATCCATAAAGGAGTTTCATGCTTTGTGTGTTGCTAGTGTTGAGAGGCCACACTACTGCACTGTTAACTTTGTTAACAACTATATCAAAATTTTGGTAATGAGAAAACTATGTTTTAAGCACTTTATATCCTAACAGATTGCTACCCATGTATATAGGTGTTTCTCTAGCTTTAAATATATCTAAGGATGTTGGCTGAAGGTTTGGGGTTGACATGTAACATTTTGTAACTTTTCCAATTTAGAACATTAATAGCTTCCTGGTTAGTGTTTGTACACTACATCTGATTTTTAGAAACCGATTATTGAAATTAAGTGAGAGATGATGCTATTTCTATTTTTCACTGGTTACCCTTGAAATTCTACCCTCCATATTTAACTTTAAATCTGAGGCTAATCGATATTGATCCACTCTCCCTAAGTAATGCAAGGACTTTAGAATGCTTTAACTCTAATAATCTGCCTTCCAGGTAACTTGGAATTGTTAATGGGTATTTCTGGTTTATCATTTTCAATCCCACAAATTAGATAACTGATAATACCCAGTCACTGTTTAATCTTTATTTTACCATTTTCTTTGTTCACTATTTCTTTTTATATCTCAGACCTACCTTCCAAAATCATTTTCCTTTATTCTGAAAGGATACACATTCTTTAGAAGTTCCTTTATTATGTGATTGTTGATAGAAAACTACTTTTTTCTGAAAATGTCTTACTTTGCCCTCATTATTGACAATAGTTTGAGATATCTTCTGTGAAACTATAAGTGATCTGTCTTTTCTCTTTAGTTGCTTTGAGCTCTTCTCCTTGACTTCGATGTTCTGTAGTTTCAATATGAGGTATCCAGGTATAATTATTTCTTTTGCTTGCTTATACTTTTTGGATCTAAAAATTTACATCTCATTTCTGAAAAGTTCTTAGCCATTTGTCTTTTCCTATACTGTCTTTCCCTCATTATCTCTTCCTAGAAAGTTTTTTAGATATATTAAGCTGATCCATATGGAACTATAATTTTACAGATCAAAATTGGTCCAATACTGATAATCTCACTTGGTTCAAACTAAAAACCTTCTATTTTTTTTTTTTTTTTCTATTAACTCCTCTTTCGTACTTTCCATTTTTTCTCAGAGATCCTTTCTGGGTAACTGACTTTATCTTCTACTTCACTATATTTTTCCTTCAGATGCATATAATTGCTGTTAAGCACATTCTTTGGGTTTTTAATTTTAATGACTTTTTAAAGTCATGTATAATAGGGTCTTGTTCCTTACTCATTTTTAATCCATTTTTTATCTCTTTAAAAAACTTTGTATATACCTACTTAATAGTCTATGTCCAATACTGTGATATCTAAAGTCCAAAGTCTATCTAAATCTTATTTTTGGTTTTGATGACTCTCAAACTTTTGGTAATAAATTTCTGTGTTTGTAATTTTTTTTGAAGGGAGTAGTGAGAAATTAATGTGTAGGAATCTTGAGGAGCCTAGGTTTACAAAGTTATCCATGTAGAATTTATATCTGTTGGGTGTCAAAAAAAAAAAAGGCATCTGTGGCCCTTTCATTTCTTAATGTACTGGTTCCTTGATCATGCAGGAAGTATAAATTAGAGCCCCACACTCACATCGGGCCAAGACCATGGTAGCAAACACAAAAAGAAGACTATGTTATTCCAAATTGTCATGAAGACAGACAGGTTTCTTTGTTGCTTTCTTTACCAACAGGTAGCTTTTCTTTTCTTTTTTCCTAGCATTACCTTTCACTGAGAGATATAGCCACTTCAAAGATCCAAGAGCTTTGGACATGGGGTTGATGAACTCAGCAGTGGGTATGCCAAGATCAGTGACCGGTGGTAGCAGGTGCCAGGAGCACTCAGAGTCCAAGGTGGTGCATTATGTGGCCAGGGCCATGGTGGTCAACGTCAGGGAGTGGTGCCTCATGGAAAGCAACCCTGGGGTCTTCATTGGGCTCATTAAAGAAATTGGTTGCTGGGAGCTCAAGTAAAAGAAATATGGAGTTTAGAGCCTGAGAACTTTGAAAAACTAAAGCCAGTTAATGGGTTAATTTTTTTTTTTTTCCCAAGTGGCAGCCAGAAGAATCAGCAGGGTTTGTGGTTCAGAACTCCAGACGTGATCAGTATTTTTTGCCAAACAGGTAATTAATGTTTGTACTACTAAAGCCATATCAAGTGCATTACCAAACTGTACCCATCAAGAATTTTCACAAAGTTTTGATGCAGCTATGAAAAGTTTGGCACTGAACAATTCGCAGGTGATTCAACAAATACACAACAGTTTCACCAAATAGCAAATGTTTGAATTTGATGCAAAGACACCGGCAAAAGAAAAAGATGCTTTTCATTTCGTCAGTTATGTTTCTGTTAATTGAAGACTATATGAAGTAGATGGACTAAGAGAAGGACTGATTTAGGTGCATGCAATCTAGACAACTGGCTGGATCATCGCAGTAAGGCCAGTCACAGAAAAAAGAATACAAAAGTAAAGTGAAGGTGAAATTGCACTTAATGGCCATGGTGTCCAAAAGAAAAATGATATATGAACATAAGATAGCAGAGTTACAAAGACAACTTGCTGAGGAACCCATGGATACAGATCAGGGTAATATGGTAAGTGGTATTCAGTCAGAGGTTGCCAAAAATCAGATGCTTCTTGAAGTATAAAAATTTTTAAAAATATGATTGAGCATATCAGAAAGAAGCATAATTACCTACCTTTCATTATGGAATTGTTAAAGACTTTAGCAGAACATCGACAGTAAATACCACTAGTAGAAAAGGCAAAAGAAAAATGGAATGCAAAGAAAGCACAGGAAACCAAATAAAGAAGATGCTTTGGGATATGTATACACTTCTGCTTCTGCATTTATTTTCATGGAAACCATTAAGTATAAAGAACTATGAGCAACACTCTAATTGACTCAGAGTGTATCTGGCAATAGTATCAGTCTACCTTGTCTTTAATGCATGGATTCATAAACTTTTTCCCTATCTTTTTCATGTGCATGTAGTGCATATTAAATAAAAGTGATGTTAAGAGTGCTTGCCCAAATTATATTATTTGACAATGGACCGGAGAACTTCTGTTGGTTCTCTGGCTATATAACCACTATAATGAACCTAGAAAATACACAAATTATATTCTCTACCTCTAACTGTTGTAATTAATCTTCTGATTTTTTAGCTTAGTTAAGTGCTTAAAATTTATAATAGTCTGATCTTGATTAAACTGGATCTCTTTTTTTCTCATTAGTGATGGACAAAAATCAGTTTCTGTCTTTAATATTTAAATTATTTTAAATTTTAAAACTAAATTTTATCTCCTATATCATTTTAAAATGAATGATTTTAAGGCAATCATCTGAAAAGGACAAAAGTACAGTTCTAGTGATTTTCACTGCTATCATTAGAAAAAGTAATAAACATCTCAACTAGAAAAATAAAGATCCAAGAGCTTTATGCAGGAGTCTCAGATTCAGTTCCCCATAGACAGAATCTCCTGTCCCCACAAATTTCTACAGCTTTTGTTTTAGTATTTGACCTCAGCTTCTGTGGTTTATTTAACCACTCTTGATTTCAGTTCTCTTTTCTTTTTCCTTTCCTTTTTTTTTTTTTTTTGCTTTTTAAGGTCTCCTTTAATTTTTATGAGCTTAATACATTAAAATATTTTTTTTAAAAAAACCTATCCAGCATTTAGATGTTTTGTAGCCATAGGGCTTTTCAAAGTACCTAGTCTGTCTTACTGCCAGAAACCTACATTCTCCCTTTTTCAGTTATTTCTCAGAGAAACACTAATGTCCAAATTTCATACATATTAACTCTGTTCTATACAACTATTACAGCTTCACTAATTTAGGTAAATGGGAAAGAAAGTAAGTCTAAATTAAAGTCAGAATCACAGAAGTGTTTTTAGAAAGTTTCATTGGCAACAATAGCAGAGAGTATTCTATCTTGGCTAATAAAGCTTTAAGTACATGTATCAAATAATTTTTATTACAAGTCACTTTTATTCATTATACACGTTATTCATAGTGCTGGCAAATGATTTGTTCTTCTAAGTAAATTCAGGATTACTTCTGAAATTTTTATATTTATTTGCTAAGCAAATTAATAATTTTAGGTAGAGTGAACAAAGTTAAGCTTTTGCTCAAATAATTAGAAATTCTTAAATAGTGGGTAAAAAGAAATTATATCTTATAATTTATATATACTAGAAAGGCATCAGACTCAAAATCAAAGCATTATATCAAGATAAAGCAAGCATTTACTTGTGATTTGAGAATAAAAGTTACAAACTCTCTAAGCCTAACTAACTAAATTACTTGACTAAGATAATATGATAATGTGCCTTATTTAGGGAGTTTCATAATCAACTAAATTCAATTTTGGATATTCTGCGAAACATTTTAATACAATTACAAATTTATTTCTTAAAAACTAGCATTTAACATTGCAAAAGGATTTTGTCATGTTTTCTCGCAGCTGTAAGATTAGCCGATAATTTTGTACCTCCCCAGCACGCGCACACTCCTTGGCTCTTTTGTGAAGTGCAGCCCATGTATCTTCATACCTAAGTAAAAAAATTCAAAATGAAAACCACGTATTAACAAAAAATAATGGAGATATGTCACAAGGACACAGAAGTCAACTTGAAGGAGCTTCCAATGGCCAAATCTGGGAGAATTTAAGCAACAAAATAAATAATGGTACTAATGGGTTAGAACTCAAAGAATAAAATAAACTTCCATAAGTTCATAGTTATTTAAATAACTGAATAAATGGGGGAAAAGGAAAAAACTCTTCCTTACAGTGGAATTCCAATTAATAATTATAGAAAAACTGATAAAAATAGAAAAACACCATTTGATAAACACAATCATAATTATTTCAGGCAAGAATTCCCATGAATGCTAAAATCAGTGGGTAAAATTATAAAGAGAAACAGGATATTTACATAATCTCAAAGCATCTCCCCACAAGACATGCATTAATTATAAAGGAGAAAACAGTCTGAAGAGTGGAGAAACCCGGAAGACACTTTCTTAACCAAGTGATCAACAGTAATGAGACCTATAAACGTCACATGCCTACTGATATGATACACTGGAAGGACATAACATTACTCTTCTGGCATTTTTGCCAAAAAGGCACTAACTTGAATTTAGTCATGAGAAAACAGATAAACCCAAACTGAAAAACATTTTGCAAAATAACTGGCCAGTACGGTTTAAAAGTGTTGAGGTCATGAAAGACAGACTCAGGAACTGTGTCAGATTAAAAGAGATGAAGGAGATATGGTGACTAAATACAACACGTGATCCCACATTGGATCCTGGTCCAGAAACAAGGACATTAGTAGGATAACTGATGAAATTTGAATAAGTTCTGTAGTTTACAGGCAGACCTCGTTTTACTGCACTTCGTTTCCCTGAACTTCACAGATGTTGCAGTTTTTACAAATTGAAGGCAAGACTGCCTCCACCAGCAAAAGAATTACAACTTGCTTTTTTTGTGATACTTGCTTTATCGTGGTGGTCTGGAACTGTACCTGCAATATCTCCAAGGTATGCTTGTTTTTTATCAATGTTAACGTCCTGGTTTTGAAAATTGTATTATTGTACACGATCCTCAAAATACATGAAGCAATAATTGGCAAAACAGAAAGGAGAAATAAACTTTCTCTAATAATGGAGACTTCAATACCTCACTCTTGATAATGGATAAAATGACCAGACAGAAGAGAGAACCTAAACAATATAATAAATCAACCAGATATAACAGACATATACAGAATACTCTATCCAGCAACAGAATACATATTCTTCTCAAGTGCATATGGGACTTTCTCAAGGAAAAACCATGTGTTAGGCCACAAATTAAGCCTCAATAAATTTTAAAGGTGGTTATGAGAAATCTCTGAACCTTCCATCAGTTTTGCTGTGTACCTAAGACTGCTCTAAAAAGATAAAGTGTATATTTTTTTAAAGAGATATCATACAAAGTATCTTCTCTGTCTACAATGGAATTAGAAATCAATAACAAATAGAAAATTGGAAAATTCAAAAATCTGTGTAAATTAAACGACACATTCTTAAAAAACTAATGGGTCAAAGAAGAAATCAGAAGGGAAATCAGAAAATATTAAGAGATGAATGAAAATGAAATCACAACATACTGAAAATTATGGGGTACAGCAAAAACAGGGCTAAGAGGGAAATTTATAGCTATGTATGCTTATATCAAAAAAGAAAAGATTTCAAATCAATCCTAACTTCACAACTTAGGGAACTAGAAATAGAACAAACTGAATCTAAAGCTGGAAGAAAAAAATCTTAAAGATTACAGCAGAAATAAAGTAGAGAATTAAAAAACAACAAACAAAAATCAATGAAACCAGATTTTTTATTTTATCTGGCACGAAGGGTGCTCTCTGGCATTGAATTGATGAAAGAAATAAAACTTGTATTTGCTTTATATTGTTACAATCTGAAATTATTTCTGAAGTACAGGAACAGACTGACTCTACAGTACAGTACAGTACAGAAAGCTTTCACTAAAGTGTTAGTGGTACTCAATACAGGCATACTTTAGGGATACTGTGGATTCAGTTCCAGGCCATTGCAGTAAAGCGAGCTATAACCTTTTTTTGGTGGAGGGTCTTGCCCTCAGTTAGTATGAAATGCAACATCTATGAAGTGCAATATAACAAGATATTCCTGTACTTTTTAATGTAGCTCCTGTGGACCTGTGCCCTTATATAGGATTTTAGGTCCTCAACAAAGAATTTACAGCAATGTACTCCTAAGACCATCATACTAAATCTGGAAGGGCTGTAGCATCTTCAAAATATGTAGTGCTGGGGGGACAGGCTCCTCTGTGCTGAAACAGGTAGGTAGTTGACTGATTGAAATGTAATCTGTGCACTCAAAATTGAGGTGCTATGAATGAGAGGAAATCTATTGCCAAGCCCCACAAATACTGCTCCCGTAAGAGAATAGAAAAAAATTCTCCCAAACCATATATCCTTCCATTTCCTACAAGAAATTCAGCTCCATGATAATCTTATGGGACCACCATATGTGTGGTCTGTCATTGACTGAAACATTGTTATGCAGCACGTGACTGTATACTTACAGTGGAATATTATTCAACCGTAGAAAGAAAAAAAATCTGACATATGCTATACTTCAGCATGGATGAACTTTGAAAACATTATGCTAAGTGAAATAAGCCAGTCACAAAGACGAATACTGTATGATTCCACTTATTCATAAATAGTATCTAGAGTACTAGTCAAATTTATAGAAAAAGAAAGTAGACTGAAGGCCTGAGGCAGGGCCAAGGGTCAATGGGGAGTTGTTTAATGTGTGGTTTCAGTTTTGCAAGATGAAAAGAATTTTGGAGATTGGCTGCACGACAATGTGAATGCACTTAATACTACTGAACTGTACACTTAAAAATGGTTAAGATGATAAATTTTGTTATGTGTATTTTATCACATTTTTAACAATTAAAAAATTATGATTTAGATATCTACTATTTAAAATGGTCTTTCTTCCACCCAATATTAGTTCTAAAAGACTGTGTCTCAGTGCAGTGAATGGACACGTTAGACATCTTCCTATAACTGTAAATTTTTCATATTAAGTCCCAAAATGTACACCATCCCAGAAAATACCACACACAAAAGTCTACACCTCTAAAATAAAGTTTTCAATAGTTTTCAACTAAACTAAATTCAAAAAAAAGATAAAATGTAAATAGTAAACAGTACACCTCTGATTAATTTTTACTACACCTCTTTTCATGTTCACTTATGTTCTTCACTCAACAAAGCCAAGTAGGAAATTAATATTAAATTAAGCACTTTTAATTTTAGAGAAGAAAAAATTTCTAGATTTAGCAACCATAAAAAGAAACCCAATAAAGAACTGGAAGAGAAAGCAAAATATGGGTGCAGATCATTGTGTCATAATAAATGCAGATAAGGAAAAGAACCATTATCTTCTACTGCACACATCTTAACCACACATCTGTCAGATGACACAATAAGTACAGAACTGCATATAACAGTATACTTAAATTATGTACTTATTTTTCTAACAGCTTTACTGAAGTAATTCACATACCATAAAATTCACCCTCTTAAAGTGTATATATAATTCAGTAGAGTTTTTAGTACATCTACTTCTGTCTCCATGGATTCACCTATTCTGGACATTTCATATAAATGGAATCATACATATGTGGCCTTTTATGTTGGGTTTCTTCCTTTCACTTAGCATATTTATGTTCCGTTCACATTTCAGCATGTATCAGTACTTCATTCTTTTTTTGCGGATGAATAATATTCCACTGAATGAATATATCACACTTTGTTTATCCATTTATCAGTTGATGAATATTTGTGCTGCTTCTACTTTTTGGCTATTCTAAATAATACTGCTTTATGAATAATACTGCTATGCACACTTATGCACAAGTTTTTATGTAGACATAAGTTTTTAATTCTGTTGGTGTGAAATTGCTAGGTCATAAGATAATTCTGTTTAATTTTTTGAGAAACTACCAAACTGTTTTCCACAGTGGTTGCACCATTTTACATTCCCACCAGCATCCTGGATAACATTTGTTATTGTCTATCTTTCTGATTATAGCCATGCTAGTGAGTGTGAAGTGGTATTTCGTTATGGTTTTGATTTGCATTTCCCTGATGACTAATGATGTTGAGCATCTTTTCATGTGCTTACTGGTCATTTCTATATCATCCTTAGGCAAATGTCAGATCCTTTGCCTAATTCTTCATTGGGTTGTCTTTTTATTTTTGAGTTATAAAAGTTCTTTATATACGCTAGAAACGAGTCCCTCATCAGATATACAATTTGCAAATATTTTCTCCCATTCTGTGGACTGTTGTTTCCCTTTCTTGTGTTCTTTGAAGTAAAAAAGTTTTTAATTTATATAAAGTCCAATTAATCTATTTTTTTCCTTTCTTACTTATGCTTTTGATATTATATCTAAGAAAACCATGTGTTTTAATATTAATCTCCATGTCGACAGAAATAAATTGGAGAAAAACTGATATAAAATTAAGAACCAAAGTAAGAAAATTATTGAGGACTCAAAATAGGAATCCATTTTCTTGACACAAAGAAACCAAAAGCATAATAAATACACACAATAAAGTATTGACTAGAAATATGTTGATCAATCTACTCAGTCTGAATGGACTTTGTATTAATCAGTGAAAAGTAAAAGCCCCTCAGAAATAAATAATTCCAATCATATTCAGATAAAATTTAGTTGATTTAAGGTTTCTATCTATAAAATTACAAAATAGTTTTAGACTATAGTTAGAAGGATAACTTTATTTAAATGAAAACATTTACCTGCTAAGTAATTCTAGTCCAGCAGAGTATTTTGGCAAATACGAAACAGTCCTGCCAAAAGAAACTTATTTTATTAAAATTGTTTCTCATTTATGCCAACTTAACAAAAAAATTATATACAAGAATTGTGACACTTTCAATTGTAATGTTTACTATTTTAAATCACTAATGACCATTTAAACTTTTAGAGAAACATACTGCTTTATTTCAGTTAATAACTGTAAAATACTAACAACCATCGCTTTGCCCTATAGATTTTTAGCACATAATAAATACTTTAATGTAATGCTAAATAATAAGCATTTTTTTTAAAAAGCTCATCACCTCTAGGTTGAAAATGAAATTTTATCATATGCTTTACTCTATTAAAAAATGAAAAAATTATACAACACCAGTGTTTTCATATAAAAAAGGTAACGTGGCTAAAGAGGCTTGCTGACAAAGTACTGTCCCATTATTAATTTGCTTCTTAACAAAGCAGGAATTTTACTTTGCTCTTAATATACAAATAAAAATGACTGTGATCAAACAATAGCCATTGTCAGAGTAAAGCAATTACACTTCACCGTGTTTTCAACCATTTTATAATTTTATCAAAAAATTTTCCAGTGTTACAAAACTTACAATTAAGTAATTGTTTGTAGTTAGATGCACTCAACGCATGTAAAACCCATTAATTATACTATCGAGATTACAACCAAGTTGTACAAAATTTAAGTCGTAGTAAATAAAATCTTAGCACAAGCTTACCTTGGTTTGCTTTTTACTTTAGCTTCTCTTGACTTGTCACTTAAAGTCTTCAGCCTATAATCAACAAGTATAAAATATTATATTCTTACAGCTCAAGAGATTTTTTCAACCATAAATTTCACAGCTGTTCACATTTTGGGTCAAATAGGCTAATTTTTTAAGCAATAATTAAGCACCTGTACAGATGACAGCTATTTGTAAAAAACAGATAGTGTTTAGTATGTGTCAGATACCACGAATGAAAAATTTTTAGCAAATATCATATGCAATATAAAGGACAAATATATACTCACCACAAATGGAAAATTTGTAGCAAATATTTTTATATTTTTTCTTGTCCCAAATCCCTTTTTTAAAAACAATTCCTAAATGTGATCAGACTAGAGAAATCTCATTTATCTGGTATCATTAGAAAAAGAAATGGTGCACATAGATAAACTTGACAGGTTTAAAGATATCTAAGCAGCACATTTTATAAAGCAGATACTATGGCAGGCGTTCAAATTCTGACAACAGGATTCCATCTTTCTGGTCAATACTCCTGGTTAAGTACCAGAGGGAACTTCTGATTGAAAGACTATTTTTAACAAACTGGAATGCCAATTTCATACATTATTATTTTTTTTAATTAAAAGATCTATGAGACTGATTTCTCTACAATGTTAAAAAGATTCTGCAATCTCTTTAATACAAAAGTAATGTATGTATCTCCACATGATTCCAGGGAATTATACTTCAAAAGTCTACCCTATCCTAGAGGAACAATATAAATTTCCAAGTTTACCTTGGAAACTAGTAAATCTAGTTAAAGTAGATTAAGTGAAAAGTAGCGAAAGGGACTTTGCTAGCCATGCTCTACCATTTCCACTCCAAAGTTTGACAAAGGCACTCAGTTGTGACATTCCAGGTAGAATTATCCTAGATAGTCATACACGACAATGCACTGTAGTAAAAATGATTTATTATTTTTAGTGATTCGGGACAATTCCATATGGTTGGATGTTATATTGAAAGGGAGCTAAGATCCTCTTTGGACCACCTTATATGACCTTGGAAATCTCTAGATTGGTATTTCAAATATTTATTTCTAAAATAACCTATCAGAAATAAGTCAGACAAAAAAGACAAATACTGCATGATTTCACTTATATGTGGAATTTAAAAAATTCAAAATGAAGAAATAAAAAGAAACAAAGCAGACTCGGAAACAAAGAATAAACTAGTGATTGCCAGAGGGGATTGGGAGTGGGTGAAAAAACTGACGGGGAATACAGTCACTAATAGTGTGATAACTCTGCACAGTGACAGATGATTACTAGACTTAGTGTGGTGAGCACGTCATAAGATATATAAATGTCGAATCACTATGTTGTACATCTGACACTAATAATATTGTATAACAAGTATACTTTAATAAAAATAAAGTAGTGCAAGTCTGTTAGGTAAAAACATAAGAATGTTGGGAGGAAAAAGGTTAAGCAGACTGGCTACTTTGGCAATACAAAATAAAAGGTCTCACTAAATATACCTACACCCGTAATAAAAGAGAGAATAAACCACAAGTCTGGAATATTGCATTTAGAAATGAGAATCATCACTGCCATTGCTATTTCTTTTACTTTTGGTCATATTAAATGCAAATCAATTCCTAAAAACTGAATATTACCATATTAATTTATTAAAGTAATTGAGATTGAATTTCATATCTTTTCTTTATTAGTACTTTCATAAAATGCTTATATTGCGTTATTGTTCAATTTATTGTATAATGTTGACCATTAATCCCAGTCATGTTAACGTTTTATTTATTTATTTTTTTAATGTTAACGTTTTAGACATCTTTAAAAGTGCTGAACTTTGGATTACTATGTAATATTTGCTAGAATTAAATAAAGATTGCTTTAAAAATAAAATTTTAATTTCTCAATTGTAATTTTATTGACTTGGGAGTTCTCCGTAACCCACCCCCTCCAAAAAGAAAAAAATTAGTTGAAATAGAGAAAGAAGGAATATTACAGGGAGCAGAAAATAAAATTGTGGAAAGGGTCAGTGAGAGCTTGTGGCTCCTTAACAACCATTGGCTTTAAAAATTGGTCTTTAACCAAATGTAATATGTGGAACTTATCTGATCTGGATTTGAACAAATTAACTGTAAAAAGACATTTTAAGAACCAGGAAATCTGATTATGAACTGGATAACCGATAATATCAAAGAATTAGTGTTAATTTTGTTAGATGTAATGCTGGCATTGCATTTATGTAATACGTACTTTTTTTAGAGATGTAAACTGATGCATGAGAGATATACAAATCTGAGATTTACTTTATAAAAAAGGGAGAGACAAAGCAAATGTGGCAATAGTTGACAATTGTTGAATATGAACAATAAATGGCATTCAGTGTTATCCTATTTTTGTGTTTGAAACTTTGTAAAAAAAAATTTTTAACAAAAAGTCTTTTATATATTCACCTTTTCTCATCACACCTTTCCCATATAAATCGTCAAAGTGTCAAAATTCAAAACAGAAAGTATAAGAGAAAACAAAGTAGCTAGAAGGAAATGGGAAATAGTCAAGAAAGTTCAGGAGGAAAAAAAGGGTTAAAATGATTCTTATTTTAAGTTGAGAAAAATATAAAGTCAGATATATTTAACAAGTAACAAGAAAAGCAAAAAGGTCCTTTCTGAAATACAACCTCAAAGCCAGAATTCAACTGAAAATAGCTTACCATTTTTATTTTGGGATAAATCTACTTAAGTTTCTCACTGTGATCCTGTGTTGGAAACAATCCACTAATAAAGTCTAGTTAATGTCTCACAATGTCATGGCACACTGAGAAGGAAATACTCATCTAGGTGTAACACCTCAGTTTCCTCAAACATAAAATGGTAGTATTATACTGACCATAATGATTTGCTACAAGAAATAAATAAAATTCCAAATATGACTTTAGCAGCACTCTGTAAACTATAGGGCTAATTCAAATGAAAGGTATAATAAAAAGTATCACCATCAAGAACAGTAAGAAACTAACTTACTGGGCAAAGGTGAAATAATGTAGTTTCCTCAATGCACCAGTTCCTATAAAAGGCTTCTCTACTGTTCCCAATCTTCTTCCTAATACCATATACATCTCACCACAAGGAAGACATCAAGTGCTGCTGTGTGAGTATATTGATATACTTAAGTGAGCCACCTGACAATCATTTTCTACCAAAAGCAACTAATGCACACTTTTGAGTTCAGAGCACTAAACCTCAAATAACATGACTTCAATAATTTATTTTTAGATTGTTCCAAAGGCTTAATCTGACACCAGTACATTTCTTCAAGCTTTGTAGAAAATACTAAAAAGGAGGCATCTTACTAAGAGATGGAAATGATTAGCAAGACAGCTTAGATAAAAAGTTGAAAAAGAAGTAGATAAACAGAATGCTATATGGAGCACTACAATGACTGATGAACACAAAATGTGCTTTCTCCAGCTGATTTCAACTGCATGAGCTGACCTTGATGGCATTCTATTTATTTGCAGCTCAATTTCCTACTCATCTAACCTCATCAGCTTTTATGAAAGGTGAAGATGATTGCTTTAAAACACCACAAAAGATATTAATTAGCATATTTTGTCATTAAGGTTCAATTCCTTTAACCTTGCTCACGTCTCCATTATTCTGACTTTAAATTCTGTTACAACATATCCAATCGATTATATTTTCCCATTAATGTTTATCACATTTTTCTTTTTTTAAAAAAAGATCAGGCAAACACAAAAGCATCAACCACGTTTAAAAATACATATGACCCCCTAAGTTCTGAAGCCTAAGAGATTCACACAAAAGCTGCACAAACTCAGAAAAGAGAGAGGAATTAGACTATATCCTAATTAACCTCAAACACACCGTTTGAGTTCTGACCCATCTCCTGAGTGTTTCTTAAATTTCCAACTGCCTCTCGGATGACAAGCTGTTAAGTTACCTCACAACAAATTCACTGTCGGCCATTCTTAAATTTTTTCATGATAGTAAATGCTATCATTTATCTAAGAATATCCAAAATTAACATCTTTAATTTCTTCACCTTTATCACTTTCTACATCTTACTGTTTACAATTTGACCAGTGCCTGTCACATCATTCCTTCCTTTAAATTTCTACCAGCACTGCCATATCCTCTCACCTGGTCCATAATTATAGCCTCCTAAATAATCTCCCTGTTCTCCATCTCTAGTCCTCCCATCACACTGCCTCCAAAATTATCCTTCCAGAAATCCAGATAGGCTCAGGCTGCTAACCTCCACAAAACCTTTAAAGATTCAACCTAAAAATAAGACAGGCCCATCCTATATAAAGTAGCAACCCAATCCCCTTAAACTGTTTTATTTTTAGTGGCAGTGCTTATGACCTTCTAGAAACTCTGCCTCCTGCCACTAGAATGAATGCAGGGATATTATTTGCTGTCTGGTATGTTTTCTGCTATATCCCTAGCTACTAGAATAGTGCCTATCACAGATAAAGCAGTCAATCAATATTTGATAAATTAATTAACTTAGCAAAGCATTCAAGATCCTCTATTATCAGTCACTAAACTTCCTTTTCAGCTTCATCTCCCATACCTGCTTCCATCTCTAAAATGCCCTTCCCCAAATCTATCACAGTCCCTCTTCATTCATCAAGGATTAGTTTAGAAGCCACCTTCTCTTTGAAGCCTTCTGTAAAGGTAGCTGAATTAATGACTTTTTACACTGGGTTCACATACCACTTCACTTGTATCTTTAACATTCAGTTCCTTCTTCTTTGCTTTACATCACCACCAATCTAGGGCATCCAGGGGGAGAAACCTTTTAGACAACTTTGTAGACTCAGGATATAGCCCAATATAGAGACACTGCTTAGCAAAGACTATGCAAAACTGAGCCATGCGGACTAAAATCTTTTTTAAAAGATAAAATGAAAAAAGCATCTATAAAAAAACAGTTTGAATGTCTAGCCTAGTGTCTGGCACTTGGTAGGAATTCAGCAAATATTTACTAAATCAAGTTGAATACTGAGATACTTTTCTGTTTATTAAAAAGATGAATAGTCCTGGAAGAGAGATGTCAGGCAAAACGTCACCGTTTTACCATAGTGCAAATGAGATTATTAGATCCTCCCTTTTGAGCAGGTTTCCATACTATAGGGAGAAGAGAATGAGCATACCGGGCAAGGGTGGAGGTTGAGGTGCTATGGTGGGGAGATGGTGCAGAGGTGGCGCTGAGGGAGAAACACCCAGTCTTGGTTGCAACTAGTAGTAATAACACGTTTTCTATCTCCATCCACAAGAACCCAGAGCATTACAAACAGGAAATGCCATCAGGTGACAGGCAACTGTAAACCTTCAGTAAATCTAATTTTCAGTTCTCTGAAGGGTTTTGCATGCCTGAATACTTCAATCCTGAAACTTTGGGTTATAACTGCTCAAAAGGTAAAAATCAAAGGCCAGAGTGGACGTGAAGTGTGTGCTTCAGTATATCCAAAAGTTTCCTTCAGAGCGAATGTTCTATGGGAACTCTCCAAAAGGCTCCAAGAGTTCTGAGTTAAATCCAATCAGGACTCAAGTAAGGGAAGAATGAGGCCCAGAGCCAATTCTGTGGCCCTTTGGCCCACTGGCCTCCCATTTACATCAGAAAGAAAGGGACAGAATTTCTAAGTTTATTTTAGTTTTCACATAACTGTTATAAATAAAAATTTATAAAAAAGGCCACAAGTCCATGGGCAACCTATAGTCCCTCACAGGCCATCGGCAATCTCTACACTGCCCTTAACTGATCTTTTTTTTTAGGCGAGGCAACCCTTGGTTGACCTCACAGATTGCAAGGACCTTGTCAGCTTACAATCCCTTATTTTATTTTATTTTTTTACACCTACAGCACCTGGTCTTCCTAGGTAGTCTCCCATCCAAGTACTAATCAGGCCTGACCTTGCTTGGCTTCCTGCCCTTAACTGATCTTAAGTTGCATTCTTCCTAAGTTTGAACGGAAGGTAGAAGAAATTCAGTGTGTTCATCGGACATGCTTTTTAAATCACTACTGTGACATTCCTTTTTGTGACCGATAAAGAATAATCTTATTTTATTTTTATTTAAAAATTTAATTTTCCTACATTTAAGCTCCAGTTATATGAATTTTCAGAAACTGAAAATGAACACTGAGGAGAGGATGGTGCTTTTGGTGACTATAAAGCCACACTAGCCATACTGAAGCAGCTCAGAAAAGCACCAGGCCTTCCTTCTACTTATTGATATCCTGCAGCAACCTGAACACTTGAAGTTTCCAATTATTTGACCTGCTCTAGCTTTTATAGCATCAACACCAAGTGTTCGAAAGGAATGCCAGGTCTAATTTGATAGTTTTAGGAAGCGAGGACCATGTCACTTTCATCTTTGAATCCCCCGGTGTATTCATGCAACATACACTCGTGCTGTGTTCAATCACATCTTTTCTCAACAAGGCAAAATATTTGTGTAAAATAGATTAACCTCAAGCTAAATATTTAATTCACTAAAATAAATTAAGTGGGTTTTTCTTGGTATGAATCACATAGGAATTTGAGGATCTGACAAAAGTGAACATCAGGGTTTAGAGTTTCCAGTCAAGTGGCAGAGAGACATCACTCAGAGTTATTTCTCTGCCAGGTCATGGGCTAACAGTACACAGTGGCAGTCCAGTGGTTTGTCAGCTGAGAGTGACCCCTACAAAGAGAAAGCCAGCAAAAGGCCTAAGTGGAATGAAAGCCCTCTCAGGATGTCTAAATCCCAAACTGACCCCAGTCTATGGTATCTTTGAAGAAGTCAGTTTCCATGGGGTTCTTCTAATCAGATCCCCTCAACCCTCTCCCTAAACTCAAGTTATCCAGCTCTCCCAGGATGGTTTGGGTCTCAGAGCCCACATCCACAGGTAAGTTTAACCTTAAGCAAAGGTCTGCTGCATGAATGGGTTCTGTGGCAACCACATCACCTAGAGAGTTACATTTGTTGATGACTTGATGACTGTTATGTCATCAAGGAATTCTTTTAAGTGATGATAACAGGGGTGTACCAGATGGGTTTATCTATGACAATGTTCATGCTACCAGTAGACCATTCCGGCATCATACCAAAATCTTTCAATAATATACACTCTGAAAGTTAGTATTTGAATTTCAAGGAGAAAAATGCAAATGTGTAAGCACACCATGAATGACTCCTAGAACATCTATAATTAATATTCTTAAGAACACTAAACCATAACTATCAAAAAATGCTATATAAAGTGCCTATTTTCCAGGTTGTTACTACTTAGCACCCCAAAGGCAAATAATACAAACATTTTTGTCCAATAAGATAAAATTTTAGCTAATAATTTTTTCATTAGGAATTTAAAACAGTATTTTTGAGATACTCATATTTAGAGCATTCTCCAAGGAATCTGTGAGCTAAAGATGACAGACAGATCCTTTATAAAGGTGACACCTTTTCTCAATGGAAAAATTAAAATGAATTAAGTATTAACAGTGCTTACTGCATATTTTACGTGGTAATTCATGAATCTTCACAATAACCCTGAGATAAGTACCATCTTTATCCCCGTTGTACAACCGTGGAAACTGAGGCACAGCAATTCGAGTAACTTGGAGCAATGCGTTAGCTCAAGTGGTAGAGAACTTGTGATTCCGGACTTTGCTGCACACTGGAATCCCTGGGGGCGGGAGATCTTTAAAACTCCATCCCCGGTCTGAGTTAATTGGTACTGGCTGCATTGTTAAAGGTGCCCAGGTGATTATAAGCAACATTTGAGAATCGCTAGGTCTTTGCTCTTAACCACTAGGCATTAACAGTATTTCTGTAGTTCTGTTGTTTCTCTTGCCCAAGAGTTTCTTCGAAGAGGCGTGAAACCCGGGCAAACGTAGAGAAAGCAAAAGAGGAAGAGGCGTCAAGCCTTGCCAAGGGCAACGGAGCGAGCTGACCCAGGACGCAGACGGCTCCGCTGTGACCAGGGAAAAGCTGCAGCGCCTGTGACTTTCGGCCTGGGGACGGGGCGGCGGGCCCACCCTAGTTCGGGCCGCAACAGCACAGAGGCCCAAGCCGACAGGTGTCTCGGAGGGGTTCGAGGGCGCCGAGGGGCGCGGGGTCACAGTCTCGCCGGGAGGCGCGCTCCCTCATGTGACTCCCCTCTTCCGCCGGCTGATGCTGCCAGGATGTCCTGCGAATTCCTAGCTCACGCCGCGGCGTTCCCGACCGCCCCTGGCCACCGGGGTGCAAGTCAGAGCCAGCCTGTTGGAACCTAAGTTACTTTGTGCCGCCAAGCCAACGCCGGAAAGTTCGTTACTTTCCTGCGCAGGGCGGGAGGCGCGGGAAAGGAACGTCCCGGGTGCGGGGAGGACAGGGAGGCGGCGTCCCGGGCGGATGCCCAGCTCCTCGGCCCAGCCCCCTGGCTCCCTTTCCGTCCCCACCATATACCCACCCGGAGGTAAAATCCTGCTGCACGCTCAGCAGCCGCTCGCGCAGGGTCTCCAGCATCTCTGCCACAGCGTCTCCTCCCCTCAGGTCACAGACAGCCGCCGCCGCCCTCGGGACCCCGCACTTGCCACTCGCGTACCGTTCACACTCGCAGCCCGCCCCGCCCCGGCTCAGGTTCGGGTCCGGCCCCAGCACCGCAGCCCCTTCCGCGTCCGCCCCCAGTTCGCGCGCTTTCGCCCCGCCCCTCCCTGGCCTGCGCAGCCGCAGTGGGCTGCGCCGGGCTCCGGCCTCGGAAAAGGGGCGGTGCTTCCCTCCCCGCTGAAAATACCGAGGTTTCGCTTCTTCTCACTCTCTCAATCTCGGCCCCCTGGTTTTTCTCTTTAAAATGAAAGTGGTATCGTGAAAGAGAGTTTTAAGTCGAGCGCTCTTTTGAGGGCAACATTGGTTTTTACAGTTTGGAAGAGAGGTGGATAAATTCTTGCAAAGCGTGCACTTTCCTGTAGCAAATTATTTCTTGGCCTCTGGGTCCAAGATCTGACCCCATTAGCGTTGACCTTGGATGAGATAGTTAACCATTTTGAGCCTTGGTTTCTTCATAAAGAAGCAACTGTTTAGACAACCATACTTTCTACTCTCTTCAACCTACCCTATCAGGCTTTTGTGCCCTTCACACCAAACAAGGTTGCCTTGTCGAGTCACCAGTGACTACCATGTTACTCATACTGTTTGCTGCTTACCTGCCCTGATTTTTTTTTTGGTCGACTTCTCAGTAGGTCAGGATGCAGTTCCTTATCTCATTTTTAAGACATGCTACTTTTGCCTTCAAGGACACATCCATTCTTCCTTTGTCTCCACGCTTTCTCCAATTTCAACAGCTGCTCCCAAGGCTTCATTTCCAGCCTCCTACTCTTCTTCACCTATGTGCTCTGTCTAGGTTATTCTGTCAATTATCATGCTATAAATTCTATCAAGGCACTGATGATGCCCAAATCTCTATCTTCAGCCCTGCCCTCCCTCCCCTCCTTCATTTCAGGCCAGTTCTTTACCCAGCATGTAATTAATTGGCATCTATCTCAAACCCAACATACCCGAAATTGAAAATTTGACTACATACTCACCTCCTAAACTGCTCATTCCCCGACCTATTCCATTTCAGTAAACGATATCCCCATCCACCAAGTTACTCAAGCCACCTGAAATCACCCCTGATTCCTTCCTTACCTCGTCCTTCTTATTAATTCATCAAGTCCAATCAACTTTCTTTCTAAAGTAGTGCTGGAACCGGTTCCCCTTTATCTTCACAACAAAATTTGAACCCTTCCTGATACTCTGTCCAAAGCAAGTACTACTCACTTATTGGTCCTTGACATTTAAGTCATATCAATCCTTTGTGTGCGTTTGTTCCTTGCCAATTCCAGGTTCATTTCCACCTTGAGTACTTGTCACAAGCTTTTCTCCAAACTGTCACATGGCCGGTTCTTTCATTGCATTCAGGTCTGAGCTTAAGTATCATCTCCTTAGGTTTTCCCTGACCATTCACATTACCCACCCAATCACTTGCTATCACACATCCTGTTTCCCAACTTAGTACACATTACTATCTGATAATTTATTGAATCATTTAATTTTTTAGGCTGTTTATTTATTTACACATTTATTTTAAAACCAAGGTTGGGTCTAGGGTGAGGCATCCACCTCAGGTTTAAAATTTAAGGGGGAGCCAAAAGGCTCAGTAATCAAGATGAATAATACTTTAATGCAATATCCAAAATTTTTGAAATTAGTGGGGAAAAATCTGTGATGAATAAAATATCACAATTTTAAATAAAGACAGAATTTGATAGGGCTGGAATTGGATGAGGTGAGGAAGAGGGGCTGCACAGTACGCTAATGTAAACTGCCCAGTCTACTGAGATTTAACTCTCTTTTACTTAGTTCTGTGTCCCTGGCACATAAAACAGTGAATGGTACATAGTAGAAACTTAATGAATATTGATTATTTTGTTCTGTAATTAAATAAGATACAGTACTCAGCTTATGGTTAGGGACAACAACTCTTCTCCACTCTTGATGTTTTATTCCATGTGGAGGAGGCCTCTCCATTAACTAGTCTAACACTCTAGGTCTTTCCTGGTAGAGAAGAGGTGACTTAATTAGCCAGCTGGGAATAATGAGCCTGAACCCACACTCTTTTCATGTCCTTGGGTGCAGACTTCCAACAAAGAGTGTTCATTCTGCTCTATAAAGACAGGCTGCCAGCGGGGGAGCCTGGGATGACCCAGTGCTTTCTGTGAGTTGGTGGGCATGTCTTAACCTAAGTTTCAATAAGAAGAGTTCTGTTTGTTCATGAATAAAAGCCATGTGTTTCATCACGCTTACCAGAAATTAGAGTGATGATTTAACCATTTTATGTTGATGGTATCGTCTTATTTCTAAGTTGACTTAGACAAGTAAAAGAGAGGGGCACTGTTTATTGAGCCTTCCTCTACCTCCCAGAAACAATTTGGTACAAAGTAAGTGATCAAATGATCAAATCTATAGTGACAGATATCTCAGGTATTGGAAAAATAGGAAGCTTTTTTTTTTTTTTACTTTATTCAATTAAATAATCTCCTCTCATATATTTACAATGTACCAAATTTCATAGATTCCAACAAATCATAGATTGCACCAAATCAGAGCAAAAAGACCTCCTGTCACTAAAAAATAGCTTTACTTGTTGTGGGTCTTTTTGTAGGGGTGCCTACACAGTAAAGGGAGGAAACTTGGGAACTGGCTGAGACAGCCAGGCCTCCTGTAACTGGAAGGCTCTGGTTGCTGTTTAGGAAACAACAAATGCTTTAGTGTTCTAAGCAGCTCTAGTAGTTGCCATTTCAGGGAAAGAAAAAAAAAATCCCTTCTTCCCTCTCCTGGTGACTCTTCCAGTCCCGTTTATCTCTCTTTCTCTGACTCCCTCTACTTTCACTTTTCATTCATTTTAATCTCTGCTGTACCATATGACATTGTGGCTTCAGCTTAATACCTCCCCTTTCCATGTCTCTTGGTTTCCACCATTGCTACCAACTGTGACCCAACCTAGTGACCAGAAGAAAGCTCTAAATGTTTTTGCGAATCCCTCTTTAAACAGAGAATGCCTCAGATAAGCAAAACTAGAAGGGATTTATGAGAGACTATTTCTTAGACTTATACAAGGGAGAAAAAAAGCCTACAATAGCTAAATTAGAGACGATGTGCTCAGTGTGTATCTGGTAATGATTTTGCTTGTGTCACTTCAATTCATAGGTTTATATACAGTAAATAGTAAGTTTTCAAGTAGTGCTTTTATGATTTGCTGGGAATTTCAGCAAGGGGAGGGGGGAAAGAAAGTGATTCTCCTGTACAATAATGCTAGGCTCCTCTACTTTAGTGTATTGTCTCTATACACAGAAGTGGAAGTTAACAGATGTATTCATTATCTTAATAAATCATTCTCTATGCCAATGAAAATCTTGTAGGGTATGTTGAATGGTCTGTTCTTCTGTTATCAGAGTTCTGTTCCTGAAGCGAGTTTAATTACTGTGCTGTGCAATCCTAATTAGCCACAACTCACTACCTGGTGGTGCCTAATGAGGGAACACAGTATTGAGAGAGAATGAGCTAGTCAATGAAGGACTTTTCTTGAATCCTCGACTCTTCTAAATAGTGGGAACATC